TTTACCCAAATGTGGGTGAACGATGCACAAGCATTGCTCAGAAGCTCAGTGGTCATCTTCTGCATACCAATACTGATGGTAAGAAGTGCTGTGAAAGGATTTGGATTGTAGTTAGCAATTGAGAGAACTGTGAAAAATAGGAAATGAGTGGTGGGCAGGAGGTGTAACAATCATAAGTGGGCTTATCAGAGAGGCAATTTGAGAAGATCTGATATAATTTGAGAAATATCTGGGAGACTTATAGAGATGCTTGAAATTACTGGAATTTCCTAGGGAAGTGGTTCTTAATCTGGAGGATTTTACTCTAGGGGACATTGGACAATGTCTGGGAATATTTTTGATTGTCACAACTGGCAAAATGATACTACTGGCATCAAGGCAGCAGAGGCCTGGGAATTTGCTAAACATCCCACAGTGCACAGAACAGGCCCCCACAAGAAAGGAATACACAGTCCACAATTTCCATAGTTCTGAGGATGAGAAACCCTGGTTTAGGGCAAAGGTAGATAGAATCAAAAGAAGTCAAGGCTGGCTCATTCAGAGGTTGAAGGAAGCCATACCCAAACAAGTCATAATTTCTGGATTAATTTCCACATTGGGCCAGCTTTTTAGATGAAGAACCCATTAACTGAAAAAGACATTGTGTATCCTGTGGGAAAGACATTATAATAATTCCCACATTCGTTCCCTAAAGAGATCTATACTCAGTTAAGGGCATATTGGAAAAAGAAAATACACAAACATTTTGAGGATTACTGGATGCAGAAATTAGGCTGATATTCTATTTAGGGACCAAAATAGTCATTGGGAGCCCCAGTGGGGGAATATGGGGGTCCAGACAATAAGGTTCTGACAGACGCTGATGTTTCAGTGTATGTGTTGTATCCACAAACCCACCCAATGGTTATTTCCCATGTCTCCAAAAGTATATTTAAAATAAAAAATATATGAGTTGACAGAACTCAAAAATTTGTTACTTGTCTTGCATAAGAGCTACTGTAGAAATGGAAGCCTCTGTAACTGCCTGTCACCATTGCCTGTCAGATAGTAAATCAGGAACTATAGCCTATGCTGGGGGGACAGTAGAAATTATTTCTACCTGTAAAGTGGTATAACAGGGACTTTCCACATGAAGCAGGTTTAAATTTTATAGGGGCAAAGGGAAACTTCCTCCTTACTCTCTAAATGTTCACTAAAAATTAACTAAGGCAGATAAATAGGAGAAAAGGCATACAAAATTTATTCAAGTGCACATGTATGCACAGGAGATTTACAAAATATGAGATTAAAGAGAGACCAGATAGTTGATGCTTAAATACTCTCTTCTTAGGGGATAGGTGTATATTCCTGGGAGGTGGGAGGCAGACATTGTGAGAAGGTGAGATGTGGAGCTACACAGAAACAAAAGTTGTCTTGTTATGTAGATAAAGTCCCCCAGGTATTCTCTGGGAGCTGCCCTTAGAAGAGCAGATGGAATGTCTGTCTGGACATGATGATGATTTCTAGTATCTTCCTTTCTCCTGTGGTAGATATTTCCTGGTTATTTGATAAGATCTGTAAAGAGAAGGGCAAGCAAGACAATTACATCTCTCTTAGAAATAAAGCTTTCTTGGTCAGATAAAGAAATTCCAAAGAAGATCTCATCTCTTCCTGTGCATGTAGGAGGAACAAGACAAGGTTAGGGAGACCTTGATTCTGACACAGCTTCTAAGACCTCTCAGCATGTCAAAATGCCAGCCCTTGGAGCATCTCGTTCTGAGCCTCAATAGCTTAATGTAAAAACAGACTGATCACACTTTTTGGTCTGCTATGGTTTTTGTCCACTAGACAAATAACTAGTCTAGGAAAAAAAAAATCACACTTTATAATTCTTCTCAAATTATTTGTCACTATTGTCCATTTACTAGCCTGGGATGATATTTCATGGTGGATTACTCATTTGCAACAATCTTCTAGATATTTTTAACTCTTCTGTCCAAATAGACACTAATTATAACACAATTTTAAGTCTAATACAAAACACGCACACACACACATACACACACACACACACACACATATATATATATGTGTCACATAATGTTATAGAAGCAAACTGAGATCCATTCATCTGGCTCAGTCAAGCCAGACACTAGAATTGAGAGTTGCAGGGTGCCATGCAAGGAGAACAAGCAGCTGATGCTTAAAACTCAAACTCTCCAATGGCTTGTAATTCAGGGTTTTTAAAGACAGGGGTACATTTCAGGCAGACCTGACTCAAAAACGCAGGATATCCTGAAGTGGGGGAAGCACAGGTGGATTCAGAGATTCTAGGATAAGTGGGATGGGATGTTAAGATGGGTGTGACAAGTCCTTCCTTCTAGGTGAAGTTTAGAACAAAGAATGATGATTAGGGTTCATTTCTTCAGTTCCTCCTTATCAGCATTTTTCATTAGGTGGTGTATTTCTGAAAAACAACTCAAGAACGTAGTTAAGATGCCATCTTTTAGTTTCTATACAGAATTAAAATACCTGCAGACTCTGGCTTGCTTGGAGGGCCACTGTTCTCATCAGGTTGCCCACTTACTTTTTAAGACCAGCCAGGTGCTCTGAACTTCCCCTGATGGGACTCAAGGTTTTCATTTATTTCCATGATTGGGCTTGCCCCCAACCCAGACCCCTAACAGGGGTCCCTGCTTGGCCTCAATCACTGTTAGAGTCCGATTATTAGAACCTTCTCTTTCTTGAAATAAGACAGAAATTTGCTTCTTTGTCTACCCTAGAGCTAGTAGTGGTTAACTAGGGTAACATTGGAGGTGGATCTCATTGAGTATTTGCTGCCTTAAATTCCTCATAGTTTCTATCTTGTCTGGGTTTGGACACAGATCTAAATAAGAACATGATTCTCAAATCGCAAAAAAAAAAAAAAAATAAGAAAATGAATATAGAAAAAAATGACAAATAATTATCAGTATTTGGAATCAGCTAAGTGACAAATTTTGCATCTCTATATTTAGACTTTTTCAGATGCTATCAGATTATAGCAGTATTAATATAAAAAGAAACTTGCTAAGAAATATGGGGTTTTGAGGATATAAAATTAAAAAAAAAATACAATCTACTGTAAAGCTAAAAACAAGTCAGAATTTAACACCTTCACATGTAAGGCTAGAAAAGAAGTAAGATAACCAAATGAAAATGATGCATACAACAGCAATCGCTGAAAGTCAGCAGTTACTTTCTCAGTCTAGTTGACTTTCATCCTTACCTGTGTAAAATAATACCACCATGGAATTATTTCACCTTAATCTACCTGTAGTGCCTTTTCACTTTTAATGAATTATTTAAAAACTTCACCCAATTCAAATTCCATTTGGATTTTTACCTCTTCTAAGAAGTCATTCCCTATCATTTTATCTGAGTCCTATAATGATTGCTTGTTTCTCTGAGATCTTGTTAGTGGAATTAGGCAATTAATTGCTCTTTAGTTGTGACATCTAGCTACATTTATCTGCATTTCCAAGGAGAGTTCTTTGAGATCAGGCACAAGATATTTTTCTACTATTTCTTCCTTTAGCCTTCAATATAGTCAGTCTCCTCCATTGCACTCATTCACTCCCCTATATTTCTGAACATATGAAACTTTTCTATTTGTCTTGAATTTTCTGTTTAACTTTCATTTCATTGACTGCTAAATTTCCTAGAAAAGTGCTCAAACCCCTTGAGTAGTTTTTTTTAACTCCTTTTCCTTCCCTCAACTTCCTATAACTAAGATTCTCCAAAATTGAAATTTTAAATAGCTACAAAGGTTATTAATGTAGTGATTTTTGTGTGTGTGACTCTTTTTATCATGTTTGCTCATTTTATTGTTTACTTTCTTTCACTTATAATCATTGATGGTTTTTCTTCCTGATCCATCTAAAACGAATATTTTCTTGAAAAAACATGCACACAAATTGGGGATGGTTTATTACTGCAGCATAATCCAGCTTTCCTGACTGGTACAACAGTTATGAACTTCTCTTTCCTTAACAAAGAATATAGGAGTTAACATCTTTTGTGGAGAGCAAAGACATAAAATAATACCTGTTATTGGAAGAAGAAGAGCAAATCAATTTTTAAATTAACTCTATTTGATTACAAAGAGCACTGGAGTTTCTATACATAAGATTGGTCTAAGCAGACCTTTCTCAATTACTGGAAAAACAGTTCCTGCCAATGTGTTCTGCCATTAAGATATCTTAATAATAAGGTAAATAAATGTGCATTCCCTTTGGTTAGGAATAAGGTGACAATATCTTTCATCTGCTATGGGGTGACTGAGAAATCTTAAGTGTCAATATGCAATGCTATCGTCTCAATTTGACTGACCATTCTTGGCAGAGTGGAATGAGGATGAACTTGCCTCCATACTTTTGCAGATATTTAGGTTTGGATGGTTTTACGCTGAAAATAGAAATTTTAGAGAAACTAGGAAAAATGTTATAATACTTTTTCTTAAGTTTGAAAGTATATATATGAAAGCATTCTGAACTAATAAGAGATAAAACACAAAAACATAGTCAATTCCATTTTAATCAAATAATGACAAGTGTAAGATATTATTAATATATCATGATTTAAATTTTCAGTCTACATATGCAGCCTTTTGGAATATCTGTTTCTTCATTGCTTCCAGGGTTCTTTTCTAAGTGCTGCTTGATTTGTTCTTCTAATCCCACAGCATCTGCTCCTTGATATTGATCTATTCTCACTTTGTTTTGAAAAAACAAAAATGTGGATATTGTTGATATATTGCTGGTGGCAGCTGTTGCCTGGCAGTGATGAACATCTACCTCTAAGAATACAGCCTGTGGATATTTATGACTCATAGACCTGAATGCTGGGGCAATCCTCCAGCATGGCCCGTACCTCTTGCGGTGAACATGACCACGGTGGGTCTAGAGCCCATGCCACTCAGCTCTGGCTGGAAATCCAAGTAACTCCCATCTGGTTTCACTCCTGTTTTCCTCACAGAGAGCCTGGTAGGTCTGATGCAACCCCACTGGCTTTGACATTGAGGGAGATGACCCTGGAGAGGAAGGAGAGAAGCTCAAGAAGGCTCAAGCCTGGACAGAGGAGGTGGCGAATGTGGCCTGTTTTACACTTTGAAGCCTCAAGGCACAGGGTAAATCTGTCTTTTCACTTCACTTCCATCTTTAGGATTTGATATAATCAAAGGGAATAATCAAAAGGATGGTATGAATCATGCACTAAATTTATGGTTACCATCCCAAAAGTTATAAAGCATGTCTGTAAGACCTAGGAAAGATATTTTTAAGTGTTTAATTATTGATTGATGTTTTATAACATAGAAGTTAAAATCTGGGCCTCTGATCTCAGACAACGTGGGTTTCAATCTCTGTTCCACTACTTCTGTATAGCCCTGAACAAGTTACTTGCCTTAAGCTCAATTTTCTCTATTGCAAAACTAGAATTAAAAAAGGAGCTGCCCCACAAGGTTGGAGTGGACACTGCATGTATGTGTAAAATTATTGGCACACACAAAGTGTGCAGTAATTATTTCTTATTATCTATAATTAGTTTATGCTTCTTCATTTGGCTTTTCCCTCAAGTTCTTAGATTTAAAGCCTTAAAGTAGAAACTGTTCTTGGGGCTTAGAAACCAGTAGCCCAAAATATGGTGCTTTGAGATAGTGAACTGAAGAACCCTCAAGGTCTCTCTGATTGTCCCTCTCTCACACTCACAGAGTCTCTCCAAAAGAAACTGATGTTCCTTCATCTGCTTAACTCTAGATCCACCAAGGAGAATAGTTGATTCTTCTCCCCCATCCTATAAGATCAAGAATGTAACCACACCTGAACTGACTCTTTCACTGTCAAAGAGAACTAATTACAAGGTAATCTCTGTTCTGGGATCTTTTCATTCTCCCTAGTAATCCATATGGTCTCTGGAAAGAATTTCATTTCTCCCCTCTCCCAAAACCTGTTTTGCTAGGATGGTATATAAGCTTCTGAATCCTGTAGGGGAGTAGGCAATTACTTTATGATTCTCCCCATATATACACATTAAGTAAATTTGTATGCTTTTTCTCCAATTAATCTTTCTTTTGAGTTGATTTCTGATTTTGGGGGCGGGGGAGGAAGGGCCTGTGGTCTCTCTATTGTCAATGTATTTCTCTTTGAGGCTATAATGAAAAGTGGTAAATGAGATTACCTTTGTCTCTGCCACCAGAATATGGTTTCTTAGAGGCAGAAAGAAGACAAAGACATGATGACATCTACCACAAAAGAAGAAAGGAAGCTGAATGGATGTGCATTGGGATGAAGCATAATGAAAAATTAGGAGCTTATCTAAAGCTGAAAAGGGGACTTGGTGTGGCGTCTTTAGAAGTTCCAAGTGGACACTTTTCTAATTCTAGTCTTAGAATTGAAGTATCACGTGTAATGTGTAAATACTTTATGAATACTAAACCTGATCCATGACATAATAACTGAAGTAAACTGGTCAAACAATAGCTTGGTTTTTAAATATCAGTTTATCTCATCTACATGATAGTTTTCTCTTCTTTCGGTTAACAAATATCTTAAACCATTGGTGAATGTTGAGGATTAAATTCATGTCTTCAAATTTTAAAAATTATAAATAGTCATCAAATCAGGTGAACTATAGAAAATGCTAAAGTGTTTTTGTCATTTTTTTTTCTATTACCAAACAAAATTTTGGCCTTGGCATGCAATATTCGTAAAAATAATGCTTGCATTTTTATGTTAATATACAGCTGGAAGAAAGTACATAGCAATTATGCAATGACTAAAAAGCCCCAAAGCATAATAGTGATGTTTTGAACAATTTAATCCATTAAAAGCTCAGTTAAGCGAATAAAGAAAACACTTTTAACATATGGTTGTAGTAAACGAAAAACTGGTAAACATTTTAACATAATGGGGTATTTTTGAGTAATTTCACTTCCTAAACCAGTGTTTTCAGAAAATGGAATGAGAGATTTTTTTAATCATCAGAATTCTAATTTTTATCAGCATTTCATCTAATCTCTATCATATAGTTTTTAAAATGTTATATATAGTCTTATTTCCACTGACCTTTATAATCATGCCATCTTTTCTCTGAAGAAGTCTGAAAACCCAACACCCTCATCTCTGCTTTCTTTTCTTTCTCTCAGAATTGGCCATCGGATGCCCCTTCCCCGTTCAAACCCCATTTTCCCCTGATGTCAAATTCCATGCATATTTATCAACTTCTGTTTCACATACTACCATAAATACTGAGGATAAAAAATAAATGTGTCATAAAGTCACTGATATTAATATGCTTACAATCTAGTAGGAGAACATTTTAAAAATGAATAATTGAAATAAATTACATTTGGAAATAAGTATAAGTTATAACATTTGTAGAAAGGAAAAAGGATCCACTATTTGGAAATCAAGGTCTGTTGAAGTTAGAAAAGTGAAGGCTCGACTAAGTGAGTGCTATACACAATCAATGCTTATGTGGAGTGCAGACTGTGAATTCCCAGGTAGAGGGAAGGAAATCATAGGAAGAAGAAATAAGCTGTGCAAAACCATGGAGGACTGAAACAATTTGGCAACTATACCTGGAAGTCTGTAAGACATAATGCATAATAGATAATTTGTTAATTAGTATTCATTCAAAAATAATTCACTGAGGACTTTACCAGTGACAGTATGAAAGGGGCACTTATTAATAGAACCCATGGTCAAGGAAATAAGTTGCGGCCAGATCCTGAGGGGCTGTGTCATGTACTGTCCATAATAGAGTGCTCAGATGTTATCCTCCTGTTGGTCAGGTACTAACAATGTGAGGAATGATTCCACTTTAGATAGATCACTCTGCAATCCCATGGCAGGTGTGAAGTGATGGGGTAAATAGCTGTGCCACCAAACGAGTGAAGTGACACATCTGACCTACTCTCTCACTGGCACCACCACTTCCCGCCCTTGCTATCGGCCACATCTTTCTAGCAACAGACCAGTCTTGAATGAAGGCTACCATCTGGATCCTCTATTTGCATGTCTGAGTGACTGAGAATTTTAGAAGGAAAACACCATTTCCATTTACTGTTGTAGGAGCTTCAACACCACCCACCAATCACTTTTTGTTTTTCTGATTCTTCACAACTGCTATTTTAAAACTTAGATATTCTCTTAAAGCCTTTTACTCAAGCACATCCTCTCATTCTCAGAAGACAAACTTCCTTTCATTTCTTATAGGGTGTTGGAGCTTCATGAATAATTTCTCTAAACATTCCCTGTCTCCCACTGTAATGGAGGTAAAGGTCTAAAAAAGGGCAAAATGTATTACAAGTTGTCTCTTTAAAACCCCCACGTTTTGGGGGAGAATTAAAACCTGCATTCCTGCCCAAGGCTAGTAATCAAAGGGGAAGTTCCTTGTTCTTTGTTTTCTAGTATCTTAAACCATAGGAGATGGCTCCAAAGAGTGGTCCAGAAGTCACAAGGTCTTCACTAGAGATAAGGTGGACCAAAACCACCAACTACAATAAAAGAACAATAGCCCAGGGACACAATATGTGATACTGGTCACAGGACCCAAGCCCAATCTCTGAAAACCCACTTTTAAAAAGCCCTATGTTTCTGCTTAAAGGCGGGATGTGGCCTTTTGAGACTATAGTCTGCTGTCATCCTAATTTGCTGGCCAATTATTAAACTTCTGTTTCCTTTACTTCAAACCACTTTTCTTTGTTCGTACTCACTAATTCAGCCTCGGGAACAGGTATTGTACTTTCAGTAACACTACCAAGATTATAATCTGCTTTATATTCTTAAATATCATTTCCTTATTTTCTCAAAGTTCAGTAAAGGATATGTGAGGAAATCCTATCTACTTCTCCTTTGGGAGGGAATCATACCCACTTGTGTGCTCAACTCATTTCTCCTACTTCCTCTAGGACTTTTCTCTCATGCTCAACTGTGCTGTGTCCTACCTACATCTTTATATAAAATTTACGTATAATCAGTTCTTCCATCAATTTAAAACTCTCCAATGACTCTTTAGTCCTTTTTGCCAAAACACCTTGACGTCAAAGTTGAAGAGATGGAATTGAAATTTGAATGAAAAGGAGGCATTTTGTTTTGTTTTGCTTTGTTTTGTTTACAATTCTGTTTGTTTTAGTAGCCTAATAAAACTTCTTAAACATCTTATATATGATCATCCAAATGCAATATTATTATTAATATTCTTTGGCAGTAGTATTATTTTGTGTGTGTGTGTGTTTTTTTTTTTTATTTGTTTTAGATAAGTGAATGAAAAAAAGGAAATAAAAGTGACCCTTTGGGCCTCAAGAAATAACTAATTGATTTTGAAATGCATCTGAACTAGTTGCCAGTTTCTATGTGGGAAGAAGTCGTTTAGTGTGTTTTTTTCCCTTGCTTGTTAGATTTCATAGTTCTTATGATACCAGTAGAGGGTAGGACTAGTCCAGATATTTACAAAGGAGCAAGCCCATGTTGAATTGTAGATCATACCCAAGAATTCTATGGCTGACATAGTTTTGCTGAAAGCAGCAAGAGTTGTACTTTTTAAAAAATGCTAAAAATGATCAAAATGAAATTTGCAGCTAAAGGATATACAAAGGACAACTCAAAATGGGGTCAGAATGCCAAAGCGATAAAAAAAAAGATAGTAGCCAGTTTGAATTTACTTCACATTCTTTTGCTAAACTCTGTAGCTAATGAGGGAAGTTAACAGCCAAGCTAGTATTCTTTTTTCCTGGTATAAATGCCAAAAAAAAAAAAAAAAAAAAAACCCAAATAAAACTGCAGATCTAGGCATTTTAGTAATCATTTTTTTTAGCTCATTATTTTTGGGGAACTTTAAATAGTGTGTCAAAATAAATGAAATGGGGGCACTCAAATTAAATCATGAAAGCAAAACTTTTAATTTTAAGGCAGATTACTGAGGACATTCCAAATATAAATTAAAATTATATATGAGTCTGAATTTTTCTCCCTTCTTTGTATAGCAGCCTTCTACAGGCTTCTTCACCAGCTGAAGCCTTATTCCCCAATATGTCTTCTATATATTTCCAAGACTGATTTCCCTGAAGTATATATCTGATCTTTCCTAAAGGGAAAAATAAAATACCCTCTGCAACCTGTTTAATTCTACCCTTTATAGGAGTTAAAGTTTTGTGTAAATATCTATTGTGTGCTAGATTCTCTCTATGCATCATTAAACATATATCTTCATAATTTTTAAACTACACATTAGTTCCCAGTTATATTATCTTTGTTTTCTTAATTAAAAAGAATTAAGAAAAGTTAATAATTAATTATGATATACCCTCAACAATAAAAGATAACACATTGAATTTTATTGTGAGGATGTACCATATTTAAACAAATCATTTTCTGATTGTACTTTTCAATTATTTTTAGATAATTCTTAATATAAATCCTATATCTTTACCTTTATGCATATATATACATATATATATATAGCTTTTTTTTTTTTTTTTGAGACCAAGTTTCACTCTGTTGCCTGGGCTAGAGTGCTGTGGCATCAGCCTAGCTCAGGGGTCCTCAAACTACAGCCCACGGGGCCACATGCCTCCTGCTGAGGACATTTATCCAGCCCGGGGGATGTTTTTGCCTCAGCTGCTGCCTTTCCTGCTTAGCAGCCGACTGGTCCGGGGTCCACGGTGCGCATGTATGGAATGTGCACTGCACTCTCCAATGGCCCTCCAACGGTCTGAGGGACAGTGAACTGGCCCCCTGTTTAAAAAGTTTGAGGACCCCTGGCTAGCTCATAGCAACCTCAAACTCTTGGACTCAAGCTATCCTCCTGCCTTAGCCTCCCAAGTAGCTGGGACTACAGGCGTGCACCACCATGCCCGGCTAATTTTATATATTTATTTATTTTTTTTAGTTGTCCAGCTAATTTCTTTCTATTTTTTTTAGTAGAGATGGGGTCTCGCTCTTCCTCAGGCTGGTCTCGAACTCTTGAGATCAAATGATCCTCCTGCCTAGGCCTCCTAGAGTGCTAGGATGACAGGCGTCAGCCACCATGCTCAGCCTCTATATATATCTTTAAGATAAATTTTAATAAGTGAAATTGTAGTGCTAAAAGAGCTATGCATTTAAATATTGATAAACATTAACAAATTGCCCTAAAAAATTTTAGCCAGTTTATCCTCTTATCATGACTGCATGGGAGTGCCTGTTTGTCCACATCCTTTTCTAAAGAAAATATCATCAAAATAGTAATCCTATTTTAATCATATCTGTAAAGTTGTTGTTTCATGTCTCATTGTTATTGTAAATCCTGTTTATTTATTAAAAAGTTATGACATATTTTCT